CGGCTTGGGGTGGACACTCCGGACTGGCGGCTGGCAGTCGGTCGAGCCGTCGATTGTCTGTTACGGGACGACATGTGGAGTTGCTCAGAATGGCAAACGGAAGTCGCTTTGATCCGCACGAAAAGGTGACGCGGATGCGGGGGACGCGTCTGTAATTTAGTGTAGCACTAGCGCCTTCGCCAAGTCACATGATCATCTAGTCATACATGTAGACATTTGTGTCCACAGCTGGAAAGGTTCAATGGAGCTGTAATGCAGAAGGCCTGTATAGAAGGGCACTTATACACCGCAGCCTCCAAGATGAAGGAGAGAACTGCGTTACTCAAAGAATTACAATTCTACTCTGACGTCCCTCTTCATCGACTTCGATATCCGTCCAAAAACACCAGACGCTCTGTAACTCCACCCCAGCCGTCGACTGTGTGCTTCCTTGCCAGCTTAGCTAATTCATACCCGTCTCCGCTTTCTACAGCCGTATCGTTCTCTTTACTCCATATACCCCTTTCGCTAGGCAGAGGCTTGCCCTGCTTCCACGCATCAAGCACTTTGACAGCAAGCTCGGGACGTAAACCCGTACGTTTGAGCGCTGCACTGATGAAATCATTAGGAAACCCTTGAGCATTTTGCTCGTCATAGAACTCGTTGATTTCTTCGGCGTTGAGGGGTGGATCGGGGTCGCCTGAACTAGTAGAGGTTGTGGAAGGTGCTGGAGAAGACGACAAGCGGAGAGGTTGGGCTGGATATTGAGAGTAAGTGACTTCACCTGCGTCCTCTTCCTGGAGGGAGCGGCGAAACTCTTCCATGGATTGCGTGGTCGACGCATCAGATTCTGGCAACTGAGGCGACGAAAACAGTAGCTCCTGTTGAAAATTCGCTTCTTGGGCAAGGCCAATTGAGCGTGGAAACCCGTCTTGGATGGGTGAGGATAGAATCGCCTGAGTATTGAAATTCGACACTTTCTGGCGCGTGGCTCGTGGTGTTGGCGTGCTTGAACGTAGATCATCTTCTGAGCCAGTTTCGTAACCTGGTAGTTGGCGCAGATCATCCATATCTAGAAACTCGTCCGACTCAATGCTCTCCACTTCCTTTTCTGCACTCTGCCTATCCAGCTCGACCATGGTGACCTCGTCATCTTCTACATAGTCGGGTATATCTGGCCTAGCCTGCTCCTTGATGGGCTCTGATTCAATTGTGTCCTGCGAGTTTGCAGAGGATGAAATCTCCAGTGGCTGCTGTTGGGTGCCAGTCTTCTCGGTCGGTACCTCTAATGTGTTGTCCTTGGTAGGCGTTGCACTTCCGCTTTTCCGTCGTTTGGTAGGCCGAGGTGACTCTATTTCTTCATCCTGCTCTTCTGTCTCATCATCTTCTCGTGATCGTTTTATAGACGGGTCGTGTTTTTCAATATCGAGCTTGGGGGACTCGTGTTGAACTTTTGAAGATGGCGATCTCTTAGGTGCTTGTGCTGTTTTGGTAGGGTTCTCAGTCTCTTCCGAGACGTGCACAGTAGCTTTTCTATCCATAGCCAGATATGGTGCTTTCTCTTCTGTCGAGAGTGAGGACCACTGTTTTATTAAGTCGATGTGTAGTGCGGCTAATATGTAGGTCAGTGATGATTGCATCAACAAAGGATCCATAGGCACTTACTATGACCCCTACCAGGATGTGCATTCAAAGTTTCCTGCTTCTTCTCACGAGCAAAGAACTTGTAGGCTGATGGGACTTTGTTGTTGTGTTCATTATTAATCAATTCTTCGAAGCGTTTGTCGTTAAAATCTGGTGTCTGCAAAGGTGTATCGCCCTCTACTGGAACTGTTGACTGTGCAGCTTCTTCCTCTGGTTTGACCAATTGAGAAAACGGTTGGCTGATGGACTGACTCTGACTTTGGTTATCTTCATCATGCTGCTTCTCGACTTTTCTCTTGATCTCTTCCCTTTTTGACACTGGATCGATAAGCCATTGCGGACGAACCACCTTTTCAAAGTACTGCCGCCATTGTACGGCCGTTTGCTTTCCCTGTTCCTCTGCCCATCTCTCCCATGCCGAATCATACTCGTCGCTCATTTCTAGGCTGTTGATTAAATCCGCAAAGGCGTAGAGCTCTAGCCAATCATCTGTACTAAACAGTTCTTTCAGATCATTGACGCTATAGTCATTTTTTGAGTTGATCTTTTTGTTGGCACTAGTTTCCTTCGCAGTCGATCCCTGCTCCTGTTTAGATGTTTGTTGTTTTGTGGGTTTGGAAGACGATGAATCTGGAGGCGTACGTTTATTGGCTTGGTCGAGCGAGGGAGATGGAGTAGCATTGTCGGGTAAGTTGAAGGCAGATGGAGGACGGTTTCGGAGCTGCTTGAGATAGCGGTCGCGCCATGATTGCCATGTGTGTTGCGGGTACTGTATTGGTTTAGCGGACGTACTTATGCCAGACTTATCTGCTCGCGCGTACCTTCTGCTCCAACTGCTTGTATATCTCGTTCCCGCTCACAGGGTTACCGTTTGACTCAGCGTCATGTACCCATTTATAGAGTATCCTGTCTTCTTCTGCTGTGTATGGCGTCCTCCCGCTCTTGGTAGGCTGGTGTATGGCTCCCGGTTCTCGCGCCTCGCCCACCGGTGGACCGGCTGGATGGTCTTTGGGGTCGCACAGTTCTCCATCCTTGATTGACTTGGTGATGAACTCGTATGAAATAGAGCCTGGTGGACAATCTCTTCGGAAGTGATCGGCAATCATGTAATCGGCCTTCTTCTCCAGCAGCACAATCTCTCCGCCATTGGCCTTGATCTCATCCAGCAAGTGGTTGCGCGTCGGCACGCGCTGCGCGACCCAGAATTTTTTACCTGCAAACAATTTTCCGCCGGATTCGAAGTCAAATCCCTCTTTGATATCTTTGTACACCACAGATGTCGCCATGGTGGAGTTGTCACTGTTGCGCTAAGTGGTGGTGAGTCGACGCGTTACTAGTTGAGCTGTGACGAGACGCGCTCACATGTGACGGGGGATTCACGCGGGGTCAGGTGTCGGCAGCAGCCGCGTAGTCCCTTCAGCCTGTTCCCCACAATGCCTTGCACACACACGGCTTGGTAGACCACAACACATCACAACAATGATGCGATAATAATTTCTGGAATTCCTCCTCTCTTTGCTCCGCCATGCGACGCCCGCTACAATCTGACCTTCCCCCATTATGACTGTCGCTCGCACCATCATCATCTTCACTGTCACAGTGTCCCTCGTTACCTTCATAGCCTTTTTCGGACGGCTGCCAGCTTTTAGGTGACTAGTCTGTGCGCGAGTGACAAGATTATCTCTAACAAGACTAGAAACACACCCATTGGCTTCCTCAACCGTCTCTTCCTTATTCATATCCCCTCGACATTTCGAAAAGTCGACCTCGCTCTCACAAATGGCCGCATCACCAACGGTGGCTCCCGCCTGGGCCACTATCTTATGTACGACAAACACCCACTCGTTGTCATCTTCTTTCTCGGCCTGGTGACTGCATGCGCCGGCATGTTCCTGCCCGCTGTGTGGCATCTCATTGGGCTACACCACAAGCTCTTTGCCTTTGTTATGCTGCCGCAGCCGTACATGTTTCTGTACCTGAGTGCAAAAAGAAACGACCAGACGTACATCAATGTATCCAACCATGCCGAACAGATGCGGCATTACCCGTACGATAGGGTGCTGTACTACCCTGGAACTGAGTGTCGGACATGCAAGTTTCTGAAGCCTGCACGGAGCAAGCATTGCAGCATATGCAAGACCTGCGTGTCAAGAATGGATCATCATTGTATATGGGTGAACAACTGCCTCGGCCGGGGCAATTACAAGTGGTTCTTGGGTCTCTTGCTGTCAACAAGTATCCTTATTGCCTATGGAGCATACCTAGCCTACTATGCCCTCTCTCCGATGGTCTTAAAGCAGTACCTAAAGTACGAGGGCTGGTATAGGTACAAACCCAAAATTGGCGTGGACTCTAAGAGCTGGGGTGCATATTTTGACCGAAAGATGCATTATTTCCTCATGTACACGAGCATATACCTGGACGTCGGTGGCATTCGTGGATCCGGAGTTGGCCTACTCGCGCTTCTTACATGGCCGCTTCCATTGGGTCTCCTCACCTATCACATCTACCTTATCTGGGCGGGTATGACAACAAACGAGAGCTCAAAATGGGCCGATTGGCGTGACGAAATGGCGGAGGGTGTCGTCTTTCTCGGTCACCGGCGCGAGGACACAATGCAGGAGTATCGTAGCCCAACGGATGATGAGGAACCGCCCACCACCTGGCCTCTAGAGAGCAGGCATATTCTCATTCGAACACGAACCGGGCAACCGCCAAAATTGCTACCTAGTCGCATCAAATCTGTCGCCAAAGAAGGCAGCTTTGAGCGTGTGTGGAATCTAGCTGCAGTCGAGAATGTGTACGACTTGGGCTTCTGGGACAATATCGTAGAGGTACTGGTGAACTAATATATCGAACAAATATAATAACCATATACCTTGCAAGTATCCATCTGCCCATGTTTCCATATCGTGAGGCTCCCCACCCGGCCATCCTTGCCGCTTACCCCAGACCCTTTACGCGTTCACGCATCTGCATCAAAACCTGCTAGTACACCCTTGCGATGCGTGACGTCATGCTCGTCGCCATCTTCCCACCACCAACCACCAAGGCAATATACAAAGCAACTTATCTACCTAGCGTACTTACTTATAGCACAAAACAAATTAGTTCTTGAACTCTCATCAACACCAAAACCCCCATACTAAAAATCAGACACAATGACCCGATCCCTCTCCAAACAAAACAACCAAAACCAAGTTCAGCAGCGCAACCAAGATAGCGCAACTCAAGTCCATGAGAGGACTGCGAGCGCAAATGCATCTGTGAGTCTTTTTTTCCCAATAAACACCTTGGCCAAAAAGCCCTCAGAAGCTATGCATAAAAAGAATCGAGAAAAGAAAAGGGGAAATGGGAGATCTAACGTGAAGAAAAAGGCCGGTCTAAACCTCAACCTCTTCGCCGCCCTCTCCGGCGCTTTCAGTTCCAAATCGAAAAAGAGTACGCGCCAGGAAGCGAATGGGGATAGTGTTACTGAGGAGGAGAGGTGGGATAGAGGTATGTATCTTCCTTGTCTTTCTTCTTTATTCTATAACAGTGAATATTGGGTTGTATCTTTTTGAAGAAACAAAAACTGATGTGTGTATATGTGAAACAGGTGAAGCAAGTGGTATTGCCAGGGCGCAAGGAAGCGGGTATGCGGCTGCGAATGCGGAGCAGAGGGAAGTCAAGGCGAAGAGGGTTGATCATTTGGGGATTGAAGGGTGAGAATTGCAATGGGCGGGGTTTTTTTTAGCTAAGGAATGAAAGGGACTGAGATGGGAGGATATGGGACACTTAGATGGGATATCAGCTTTCTTAATTTATTCATGAATATGGTTCATCAATCAGATTGACATTTCTACACATGAGCGAATAAGTCCAAAAAAAAAGAGAATATAAATGATAAATGAATAATGATAAAGATAGACTGGTATATCCCGCCGTTGCATGCTATCCAACGCCAAAAAAAAACATCAAAATGATACCCACCCATTCTTTCCTTCTTAAAACACTTTGATCACACTGCAGTTCCCGCACCACCGCTAATCTTACTCAACCCTTCAACTCCCCTCTTAGCAGCAGCAACATGCCAAGGTATAGTCCCATTCCTCGTACCCCTCATTCCTCTCAACTTAGCCAACAAGCCCAGTGCCCTAAACTGTCCGAGGACTTCTTTCAGCAGTCCCTCGGCTGTCGTTCTTGTCTGTGGGGTAGGCGTCCACATAAGACTTGTTGTGCTTCTCTGGCCCTCCTGACCCGGTCCAGGACTCTGTGGCGTACCAGGGTTGCTGGCATATGGATTCGGGAGATTGGAACCGCCAGGACTGGGCAGGTCCGAGGACGATATTGAGGAGGATGCCGATGCATTTGCAGAAGACGATGTACCTGAGGGAAAGGGCAAGTTGGTAGTGGCATTACGAGATGAGCCTACAGCACCGATCCAGAGGAAATTTACGGCGATGACAATGGGTCCTTGCTCTGGGTCTGGGATAGGATGCGCGATGCTATTGGATGTTTGTAATGTTTCGCCGCGTTTGACAAGCAGGCCGGATATGAGGGCTGGGCTGAACTGTGTCGTTGTATGTGAGTTGTGCAAACGATGGGCAAGAATTATGCCCCAGGTGTCGTCAGTTACGTCTATGAGACGTGCCTCGGGATCGGCGGCTGGATCTGTAGCCGTGGGGTCGGCGGCAGGTGTGGCGGCGGGTGTAAGACCCGGTCCTGGATCTGAAGGCGATATACCGGCTTGGGGTGTAGAACCTGGAGTGGTAGCTCCAGCGCCAGTTGCTGGTGTTAGATTGGGCACCGTAGGCGTGAACTGGTATGGCGGATCCGTATCAACCGCTGTAAGCAATGTGACAAAGACATTAATCTGTGTGGGACATGAGATGAGAAAGACCCATGTCTCGAGCTCTTCCCTTTCAAGCACACCAGCTTTGGCAATGCAGACACGCCAGTTGACTCTTCGAGATTGTAGTATCTCGATTGTGGTTTGCCATATCTCCTTTGCAATCTCTCTGAACATTCTTGTCCCCAGGTAGTACGAGACGACTGCTTGAGATTTGCCACAGCTGTCAGTCCATGCAGCAGTAACCCATGCACCATCGAGACTGATGGCGTAGCCGAGATGCATGTACGTGTTCTCCCGCAGCAAGTCCTGAGCTGGCTCGGATATAAGCTTGAAAGGGATATTGCGCGGTAGTGTCTCTTCCAGATGGAACGCAGGTGCTTTGTATATGCTGAGAGATGTCTTGTCACCACTTGGCGCGCTGGGAGGACATCGATCGTAGACCTCTCGCGCGAGACCCATGTACATAGATGGGTCAAGGATAACGGGTGCATCAAATGAAGCGACGTACTTCATAGGGATGATCTGTAGCACAACATCTGGCTTCTGTGGCTGATCTGGACGTCCTGGATGACCTTGCGTGTATGCCTGGAAAAGCGCCCAAAAGGCCGAACACAGCTCCCAGACTGCTGATGAACCCCCAAAAGGATCAATCATGTAAATGACAAAGGCATCGACCTTGGAATCCTGCTGCTCCCGTATTTGGCCGTACTGAAGAGCGAGAAGCTTACCAAGCTGGATACACGTATCTCTGAGAAGTTTGAATGTTTCTCGCGGTGTAATGGTCGAGGTTGCTCTGACTGGTACAAGACCGCCTTCGTACTCTACCGCCGTCTCCACCCGACTGTGATTACCAAGTTTACAACCATCATAGGCAAGTTGGAGATTAAGTAGAAAATTTTCCAAACACGGTCTGATTGCATCGCTGTGGGGATATACACAGAACGTGACAATGTTCTTTGGGTGGCTGATAGGGGAGAGCCCTAGAGTCTCCCAAAACGCCACCGCAGGCGGCAGTAGATCCCAGTGCGTCTCTGCACGGCGCACTCTCAGGAATGGCGCCTGGATTTGATACATGTGACTTCCTGTGACTGCTGGGCTGTCTGATTTTCGTGCAGGAGGCCTTTGCTGTGCTTTGGCCAGAGCGGCATAGTCTTGGAATACTTCGTTGATACCGGCCAATGTAGGCAGATCGCAATCCGTAACCGTTGGAAAGAGGTTTTTGATAATGTTGTACCAAGGCGTCTCAGCCGCAGCATTGTTGTTGAATTCGCTTCTGGTGGGTGGGTCCTCATTGAGCATATCGAGTGTTGTAGAGACAAGCTGGTCAGTCACGATTTGTGTGATGGAGATGCTATCCTTTGCACTCAGCGGCTTCTCATCGGGTACCTCATACGCGGGATCGGGCTGAGAAGTAGGGGTGTCGGGCATCTGCGCAGGGCCTGGTAGCAAAGCAGGCAGACTGTATCGTGCCCCGGCTACAGGTCGCTCGGCTGGAGAAGGAACATTGACCAGAGACCAGTCCCAAAGACTTGGTTCGAAACTACTGAGGTTGGCTTCATCTAGGTGTAAGCCATACAAATCTAGCCAGTCACCCCCTAGGGATTCTGCAAACGAGGTCACGGACAGTGGGGTCGCGTTGCCCTCACTTTGCAACTTCCTCTTTGCGGGCATAGTAAGACTATTCATGATCGCAACAGGCGTCACCTCTACCTCTTCATCTTCAGAATCGTTGCCAGATGCATCCGACGCCTCACTCGAAGAATCCGAATCGTCACTGACCGCACGAGCCAGAGACGCTATCTCAGGGATTCGGTTTGCAGACGCAATTCCGGCGGCGAGCCGAAGCTTCGAAAGTAAGGGAAATTCCTTCAAGCTCTTTGGTTGTGTAGTGGCAGTATTTTTAGCTGGGCTGGGACTGAGCTGAACTTGACCAGTCGGAGTCGTAGGGCGATGTGCACTAAACCGTCCGCCCTGATACTTTGCATCAGATAAGCTCATCTTACGATTGAACACAACTGGGGTGAAGTGTGCATCGGGATGACTCTCGGAACCTCGTTCGGACCGAGTGCGTGATGCTGATTTACGAGGTGGAGACGGCTCCAGCGCTTTGAGGATCTTGCTGGGACTGAGAGGCGGCGTGGGTGCCCTGGAGAATGAAACGTTCCTGCGCACTGGTGATGACTTGTTGTCTCCTGAATTGTCAGAGATTTCAATCTTGGGTGCTGGCATATGCGCAGGTTCTTTGCCTTTGGCATGATCTTGGCTCATTGTAGGCTCAGAAGCTGTAGCCAGTGCGTTCTCAAGGGCTGCGAAAGGATCCGACATGTCATCTTGGGCCTGGGGCTCAGTAGTGGCTTTGGGATGCGTGTCCTGTGTAGCATGAGTAGGTGGTACATTATCATTAGGTAGAGCAGGTGCGTCTAGCATGTCAACGTCGTCATTATCCGGGCCGTCAAAGAAATCGAAATCTGTATCGTTGATACGGTCACCTGTGTAACCGTCTTCCTCCATGTCCTCAAAAAGGTCATCGTTACCGCTAGATGTGTTGAAATTATCAGCCGCGGGAGGAATGGCTGGAGATGTAGTAATCATTTGTTGGTCTTCCGTCTTGGCACTGTCCGGTGGAGCAGATAGGTTGATGGCAGGATTGCTTCCTCCAGGGACCAAAACAACATTGGAGGCTGCGCCAGATACAGTCGGCGTGTCGCTATAGGATACCCCAGTGCCAGGAGCAATTCCATCTGGCGGCGTGGGGTACACACCGCTTACTGCTTGTAAATCACCATAGGTTCCGCCACGAGCGTTGAGCGGCGATGATGGATGTAGACCAGGGTGTTCCTCTTTACGACGTGCAGCGTCGTCTTCGGCCTTTTTGGCCTTTTTGCGTACTTCAAGAATCTTATCACGGTCCAGCTTTCCCAGGAACCACTCTTGCGCAACATCAAGTGGGTCCTTGAAACCCATGGACTCTGGTGTCTCGAACCACCTCAGTATATTGGAGCTTCCAGCCGCACTGATGGCGTTTGTTCCCGTAATGGTGAGATCCGGTTCGTTTACAACGTGGAAGAAACACAGTGCTCGTGGCCATAGGATATCCCGTTCTGGACCGACTGAAGCTGGGCTTGAGAGAATGGGGCTTGACATTAGCGTGGTGCGAATCCTGACCCATGAGGCTCTCTGGTCTAAGTCGAGCAAACCGTAGCCTTTCCAGCCAAGCCAACGCTTTACGCTCGATTTCCATTTTTCAATGTTTTGCTCTAAAGATGTCAATTTTGTACGTTTCCGGTGACGGATGCTAATTTCCTCATTGATGGAATCAAGGGGATCCTCAAAACTGATAATGGTAGCAAGCACACCATTGGGTGCTACACGGATGCATGTGCCAACAAGCTGTCTCTCTTCGATTTGGGTCGAGACGCTGCTCAAACAACGTATGGTGTTCTTTCGGTCGGTAAAGGTTGATAACAAAAGCGTGCCGGAGCTGGCCCAGTGAACATTGATACTGGTTAGACGATGCACCTCTGGTTGGGGGTCAACCTCGGTTTGAGCATCAGCAATGGACTTGGAAGCCTTGGATACGAATGTGCGATAATTCAAAGCCACCACTTGGCAGTCTTTGACAACATGGAACGAGATCAATGCGACGACAGACGATGTAAAAAGCTCATAGATGGTGAAGCAATCAGGTGGTGGGGGTGGGTCAGCGGACTGTTGCGGCTGCGTGCTTCCCTGCTGTGCGGGCCTTGGATTGTTGCCGCTTTGTAAGCCTCGTTGAGGCGCGTTTGTTGAGGGTGGGTGATTCGAGGTAGCAGGTGGGTGCGGAGCGCCTGGGCGCATGGGCGGACGGACTAGATCGATGGCCTTGATA